ATTTGAGGATTCATAAATGGAATAGATTCAGCAAGCACTTGATAATAATTGCATTGTTTTTTGGGACATTTGCAAAAATGCCACTTTTTGTGTTCACATTTGCAAAAATGCTACTTCTGGTGTTTATTTACAAAAATGCCATTAATTATGATTTTTTAGAACCTAAATCTTAAAATTTTAAACCTTAAAAAATCTTTTGACCCCTAAAACCCCTTAAACCCTCAAAAGTAAACCCTAATAACATAGTTAACTCAAACATAAATGATATAATGAATAAATAATTTTGAAAAAGTTACATTTTTGTACAGATTGTAAAAATGTGGCATTTTTGTTCTCTTTAATTGATTTTAAGAACAATGTTACTTGTGCTTTTATATACCGGTTGATTTGAATAAATGTGTATATATGGGCCTAATTTGAAAGTTATGGAGTTGAAATTCATAATGGACTTTTTCTTATTTCAGTCACAAGTATTTAAAATTAAGTTAAATTTGTAAACATGATCTTATTGGTCAAATCAATTCTTAATCTTGTGATAAATTTTATGAAAGAACTCATAAAATCAAACTTATTCAATTTATACTAAAAATATTTACACCCAAAATAATAATCTTTGTATAATTTCGCTCTTTTCCCATATATTAAACATCTTTTATGATAGGTAATTAGATATTTACTCTATATATTACTGTAGTCTAAGTAGCGTTGCAAGCCCACTTTAAAATATCTGTAATGGGTCGAATATTTTGAATTGATAATTCTATGGTTTTTCCTTTTTTTGTTAACATTCTAATCGTGTGCATTGGGTAGTTTAAATTTTTTTGACCTTTGACTTGATATGATAGTTGATAATACTAGTTGCCCACAATGGTTTTCACTTATACGAGTTGAATATTGAGAAATTAAAAAAAATTGCCAATTTTCAAGTGTTACTTTACAAAAATACCATATTTTTGAAATATTTACAAAATTGTCACTTTTTCAAAATTATTTTTTCTTTATATCATTTATGTTTGGATTAATTATGTTCTATTAGAGCTTAGTTACGAGGATTTTGAAGGTTTTAAGGGTCAGAACATTTTTTAGGGTTTAAAATTTTAAGATATAGATTTTATAAATCTATAATTAGTGGTATTTTTACAAATGAACACCTCTAAATGGCATTCTTGCAAATATACATACAAAAAGTGATATTTTTGTAATTGCCACTCGAATATTTTGCATTGATTATACAAGATATACTTGTATATAATATATACACTTTTTTTTGTGTGCGCTAAAAATGATGCATTTATATAAAAGTGGCAAGAGGTTGCAATTGTGTTTTACACACAATTGATATCTCTAGTAGGCCCATGAAACCCACGAACCTATGAAATAGTAGAATCTAATTGAACCATCGATAATAATAACCCAAGCCCATAACAATTAATATATACACGTTAATACGGTGAAAGACTGATAGTTGGATAATGGTTTTCACTTATCCGGGTCGAATATTCTGCATTGATTATACAATATATACGTCGTCGTGTGTTTATGGTTTTTCCTTTTTTAATTAACATTCTAATCGTGTATTATGGCTACCATTAATCACTAGTTGCCCACAATGATTTTCACTGATTCGGTCGAATATTTTGCATTAATTATACAATCTATACTTGTATATAATATGTACACGTGAATATGGTGAAAGACTATGAACGGAAACTAGGTGACGAAGATTGATCTAAACTACGTAGTGACAAATATTCACATGCCTAATCCTAATATATCATTTAAGACATACTTCCTTAATATGCATGACAGAATTTGCGTCACACGTAATTATGAATATTCACTCGCATTCCACTAGCTAGCTATATAAACCCATCATCATCATCAAACATAACCACATCAATCAAGAACCTAAATATTTTATTCTTCAGAAAACCCTCAAGCGTATTGTTTATTTTTTTGTTTCTATGGATACTTCAAAGAAAGGTTATGGTAAAGTTGAGGTAGCGCAGGATTCCTGGTTGAAGGGAATGACGAAGAAGGGGTGGATTACAGTAGCCTTTCTCGTCTTGGTTCTTCTCGGGATTATAATCGGCTGCGCCGTTGGTCTCCCCCCGAGAGACAATCATAAACCGAGTTCAACGCCCCAGTTGACTCCCGCTGCGTCACTTAAAAGTGTTTGCAGTGTTACTCAGTTTCCTGATGCTTGTATATCAAGCATCTCGAAGGTCCAGTCGTCTTCAAAGACGACAGATCCAGAGAGTATATTCAAGCTCTCCCTGAAGGTGGTCATAGACGAGCTCGGTTCCATATCCGGTTTACCGAAGACGCTGGCTAATGCGTCAAACGACGAGCGAGTCAAATCCGCGCTAGCTGTTTGCGGTGATCTCATCGAATACGCGATGGATCAGATCGTCGAGACGGTGTCAGCTCTGAAAGAAGGAGACGTGAAGAGTATGCTGAGTTCCAAGACGATCCATGATGTGAAAACGTGGCTCTCCGCTGCGATTACTTATCACGAAACGTGTTTCGACACGTTGGATGAACTCAAAACAGAGTACGCCGAGTCGCTGACCCTGAAAGCCGCCATGAAGAACTCCACCGAGTTCACTAGCAACAGTCTAGCGATTGTTGCTAAGGTCCTCTCTTTCGGGGTCCGGGAGGAGTTTCATCAGAGACGACGGCTACTCAACAAGCAACCGAATTGGGTTAGACCAACGGTGAGGCGGTTACTTGAGGAGAAGAAGAGAATAACGCCAAATGTTACGGTAGCAGCAGACGGCTCAGGCGACGTGAAGACCGTCAACGAAGCCGTGGCCAAAGTTCCTGACAAGAGCGAAACGTTGTTTGTCGTATACGTCAAGTCAGGAACCTATGTGGAGAATGTTGTTTTGGATAAAAACAAACGGAACGTGATGATGTACGGTGACGGCAAGACGAAGACCGTTATTTCCGGTAGCAAAAGCAACGGCACCGGGACTAGCACCTTTCTATCCGCCACCTTTAGTAAACAACTCTTCCCTCTATCTGCTTACTAAAAAATTTCCTATTTTATTTACAAATTTCACCCTCATCAATCAGTAATTCTTATTTTATACCCTCAACTTTTTATACTGTAAATTTTGATACATGTCACTAATGTATGTACGCTTTTACTCTACTACGCAGTTGTTCAAGGGAAAGGATTCATTATGAAAGACATCGGAATCATAAACACCGCCGGTCCAAAGAACGGGCAAGCGGTGGCGCTCCGATCAGATTCCGATCACTCCGTCTTTTACCGATGTTCATTTGATGGTTACCAAGACACGCTCTACCCTCACCCAACGCCAGTTCTACCGCGACTGTGACATCACCGGAACCGTCGATTTCATCTTCGGAAACGCGGCGGTGGTCTTCCAAGGCTGTAATATCCGTCCACGTCAGCCACTCCCTGGCCAGTCCAACACGATCACGGCACAAGGCAAAACTGATCCGAACCATGACACTGGAATCTCGATCCAGTATTGCACCATCTCACCCAACGGAGATGTAACTGCTGCGACGTATCTTGGTCGTCCGTGGAAAAAGTATTCGAAGACGGTGGTTATGCAATCGGAGATTGGGTCGATCGTGAGTCCCGCCGGGTGGAGTTCGTGGGGGTCCAAGGACCCGCCGTCGACTATATTTTATGGAGAGTTCAAGAATTCGGGTCCTGGGTCGGATTTAACTCAGAGAATTAAGTGGGTCGGTTATAGACCCGTTATGACTGATATTGACGTATGGAATGTTATGGTTTATAACTTTATCCAAGGAATGGAGTGGATAGAGGCGACGGGAGTGCCGTTTGAACCCAAGTGAAGGCGTTTAATTTGGA